TTCTGATGATGCAGCTATTGAACCAAAGCAACGAGGTCCACCGAAAACAAGATGGCTTCGTGGTATAGCTGCTCATATTCAACAAGTTATTTTTAAAGCAACATCTGATCGCGCTAAAGGTGAACAACGCGTTGGCAAGATCGCACTCTCCAATAGTGCTGTTGTGACAGCATTAGAAAATATTGGTATACGAAGAAAATGGGTTGTTTGAAATATTAGCGTATTGTATTAAAATAAAATTGAATTAAAAATATTAATTTTAAGACGATGATTTCGTAGAATGAACCCTAATTGACGGTAATCTAAAAGAATTACAAAATGTTTTTCCATATTATTTTTAAATATAACAACTGAAATCATATCTCATTCGAAAAAAAGTATTTTTGATTTCTTGAGAACATAAACAGAATCTGGTATTATATGAAATCTATTTTAAAAATTTTTAACTTCATTATTATTAATATTATTTAAATGAAAATTTAATATCTTGTCAATAAACTAACCAAAGTATCTTTAGTTTCTTATTGTCATAGATTAAATATTTTTGAAAGAGAAACTGACTGGTAAACGCAGATCCAGAAGTATTTAATTTCTCAATATAACAAATCGCTCAATACATCTAAAATATCTTTGTTCAGCTATATACCAACTTCGAAAAAATTAATTTTATGAATTTAAATTAGAGCTTTTAAATTTTATGAACATATTGTGGTTCAACGTTTTGCCACGAATAAGCGAGATACAAAACAAGAAGTTTATTTAAAACACGTGTCAGATATCTTTGTTTTGACTTTAAAGAAACAAATCGTTCACGGGGTTGCATAGATAGTGTTCATGAAATAGAAACAGTGTCGGCCGACGCTTGTATACATACGACATGTGTATATCTCCCTCCCTTCTCTCTTGCTCTCTCTACAATATAGACATTCAAAAGCATATATGTTCACTCGTTTAGAAAGATTCGAGTTGTTTAATACATTTTTCATTATCATATTGATTTATTTTAGATAAATTATCTTAATTTGCTTCAATTAATTGATATCAATTCGCAAGCTTTACTTGATTATATATCCAGATTTCACTTGAAAAAATTCAAACTTTTCAAGCTGTAGTGTTGCTCTCGATCAAACGGTTGAAAATCACATTTGTGAACACTACAAAATTTCGGTATAAGAAATTACATTCATTTTAAGTGTTTATTAAGATTTTCTGGTCTACATTCTTTTACATTGAGCTACTACATCCAGCTTTTCAAAAAATGCTTGTACCTCTCTGTCTTACATTATAATCTTTTGTTTCTGATTATAGGAGAGAAAATTATTTCGTTAACTAAAGATATATCGGTATTACTGTTTATTTCAAAATAACATAAAAAAGTTATTTTCTAATCATCTAAATAAATAAACAATATGGCATTTCAGAGATTTGTTGGGAAATTTTCTTAAAGTTAATTGATAGTAAACCATTTGATGTTATAATTGTTGAGCTTTTATTGTATAAAACTGCAAAATGGGTCAAAATTATCTTTCGTAAGAGAAACAGAGTGAATCTAGTAGTTTCACGGAGAATTCAGCTCTAGCCTTGAATTATTGAAACAAATTAAATAAAAAATGTATTCAATAAATATAATAATGTATTAATATAATGGTTTAGAATTTTCCTTCTCTTCAAATCAAACACCATCGGTGAGAAGGTAAATATTTCATTATTTTGCACGCAAATTATTTTTAATTGCATTATTGCACGTTTTACAAGCTTATTTTTCTGCTGCATATTACGCTTATTTGTTTTTAAAGCTAGCTTTTTTTACAGTTGTTCTTCTCGTAAAAATTAGAAATGAAGGAAAAATCGTTGAGACTAGAAGTAAAAGTTCCTGGATGGGACTCGATGGATCCGAACAGTTTGCTAAGTGAGATTAAAAAAAATGTTTTTAGTCAGTTAAATGAACAAAGTCTTAGTTTTAGTGAAGCTGTTGTTATTAAGTCATGTAAAAATGCACTATCTCTCGCGCATTCGAAGAAAAAAATAGCGAGCAAATCATTGATTATATATATACCACAAACTTCTATCGATAGTAACAGCGCTTGTCATTCAACTGCAGTGTCTTCTGTTAGCACGAGCGATGAAGAAAATAGTACACATCAAAGTTTTTTGCCCAAAGATGACAATATACAATTGTGTTCTCAATTAAGATTTAATTTTGCTGATAAGAAAGGTTTAGTAATAGAAACTAATTTTGTTTATTTAAAAAACATTTTTTCAAGTTTTTTATCTAGTTCTTCAATCTCTGTTGCTTTGAATAACTTTGTTAACGAGATATGTGCATACTGTTTTGATTCAGCTACTAAATATTACGTCAATGTTCCAGGAACTCGTCGTGAACTGTGTAGTCAATTGAGTTATTTCGTACGAAACGCCAAAAAAAAAGCTAAAGCTGGTCATACAACGGCTATTAAAGTGTTGATTGAGTCAGATAATTTCGTTTTTTATTTTAAGAGTGTGGAGCCAGTTTATAGAAGTCATGAATTTTTTTCAACGAAGTTTGAGTCATTTGCAAGTATTTGTTCATCTGATCGTATCTTATTAGTTCGAGACAAAGATCAAATGTGTATACAACCGGCAAATGTATGCCTTTACTTGTATATTAGTGAATCATTTGCGTTTCGAGCTCTTGAACAATTCGATCTAACAGGTGTTGTTGATGTTGAAGAGTTACTTTTTATTATCGATAGTTATTGTCGACAACGACAATTAAAACTAAATTTTGAAAAGAGTACAGATAATTTGAAATCATCTATTCTGAATAGCGGCTTGTCCAAACGTAACGCTGTTACGTTTTTGACACAGTTTTTTTCGATTATCTCGGAAACGGTGAGAGCTAAATAGATCATTCAAACGCCATTCGACGCAGCTCGTCTTACTCTATTT